AGCAGGGCTCTTTCTGCGCACCAAGTAACCTGTGGTTGTTCTTTAATGGACTGTTCTTCTTCCCCTCTTCCTGCATTTTTCCCCATTAGCATTTCAAGAAGTCTCTTTCAACTTCACAACGAAAATCCAAGAGACTTACTTAATCTCCTGTTTCCCCTCTTCCATTTTTCTCCAAGTAGTCCCTCACTCAGTGCCACTATTGGCTTGCTCTGTGAGCTCCACCTCATTGCCCTTTTTTCAGATCCTACAAGGGATGGCACTTCTTCCCACCTTGAAGCCTCTGCCATTTTCCTAACTATTCATTTAGGTTCATCTTTAAGATCCCTTCCTCAAAGAAACCTCCTAGACTTGGATTGATACCTTGTGAGATGCTTCTTCCCACGTAGTTCTCCCTTGTGTTCCTTCCCACGATTAAGTAACTAAGTAATTAATTGTGCTTGATGTCTTACTTACGCCAGAATCCTCATTGGCTCACTCCTCGCTCAATGCCCAGCGGCACCTGGCACATGGGAAGTGTTTCAGGTCTGTTTGTTAAACATCAGGCTCGAGCCCTCCTACCATGTCCCCGGCAAAAGGCCACTCAGCCTCCTTTTTAACACTTCTAGGGAGGGGAAGCTGCTTCTCCCTCCAGTACTCAGCCCATCCTGCTTTCACACTGCTCTTAAGGTGCAGTAGGGGAAAATAGCAACGAAGAGCTCAAGGAGAAGAGCTCTTGGGTTTACAGCACAAATGGGGCTTTTTATGAAAATACCAGTTAGCCGTGGTTGGTTTTTTAATGCACTGTCTTCTCTCCTTCTTCCTCTGGTGTTCAGATGTGGAATACTCGGATGACCACTGCCATTTGGTGAGTTCAGGCTCTCTTGTGTTCGCTGCTGAATTGCATGCCTTCAGTGGCATGAATGGTCTCTTTGGGTAACACTTCTGCTCTGTCTTCTCTTTAGATTTTACCAGATTCGGAAGCATTCCAAGATGTGCAAGGAAAGAGACATCGAGGGAAACACAAGTTCAAAGTAAAAGAAATGTATCTGACAAAGCTGCTGTCGACCAAGGTACACTTACTGTTCTGGGAAAGCTTTTACGGCTACCTTGGGGGGGTATATGATGTGTTTGACTTAATTTCCGATGAAGTGTGAAAATGTTACAAATCCCTTGTGCCTTCTAGCAAAGCAAAATGAAAGTTTAAATCATAAACACATCCTATGCCCGTTTTCTTTTTATATAGAAACTGGAAAGATAACAGCACTTTACAGATTTCTACTGTGCATCTTCAGTCAGGGATTTTAATATTGTTTCTTATTCCTTTACCCACCATTTCACTATTGTTATTTTTTTAGGTTGACAGCATAATTACTCCTTTATGTTTACTTCTTATTATAGATAAGCAATAAAATTCCTTCTTTGAATTGCAAATAAAATGAAGGAGAGGTGGGTCAGTGACTATAAACATAGTAAATCTTGTTGATTTTTTTTCCATTTTGAAATTAGGAATTCTGTCCACATATAAAAGTGTCAGATGTAAAAGCCAGTAGAATACCAAATCAGGAACAAATTTTACTTTATCTGGCTTTTAGTGGGATTAGCAGAAGTCTGTGGTGATTTTTGCCCCCTGAAATGGCTAGCAATGTAAATGCGACTATCTATACATGACTCTAGTAACTTGATGGGCACAATCCTTCAGGTCACGGATGGCAGAGAATCTGCTTAGAGATTAGGAGATTTGTTTAGTGGAGGGAGGACAGCCAGAGCCTCTTGATTTTCTCAGCTTTCCCAGAGAGCTCAGCCTATTTGCTTTCTGTACAATACTCAAGTGCTTTGGAGAGTGCACAGTGAAACCCTATGACAGAAATGCAGGCAACAGAAAAAATTCTGGGAACAGAGCAGTGTTGCTTAAGGTTTTCCAGGCTGAACATAACCAAAAGCCAAACATCTGAGCATCTTGGTTTATGTATACAACCCTGCAACTGACGTTCCAACTGCTAGAGATTTCTTAAGATATCCTCCCTGTTGACTAAACAACATTGTTATCAGCAAGAAGCTTCTGAACCAGATCTGTACCTGGGCATAGATTTTCAAGACCTTTGTCCCATACTGTGAGTGTTGGCCTCGTGTGACGATTTTCACATGTTCTTCTTCAGCTTGTTTTTTCTCTGGTTGGCACAGCATTTCCTCTGAATTTAGATTTGATTTTCTGTTATGTTTTTAAAACCACAACAATTTTTTGTCTCCTAAATCGCATGCTTTTTGTCTTTCAGGTGGCAATTCACTCTGTGCTTGAAAAACTTTTCAGAAGTATTTGGAGTTTACCCAACAGCAGAGCCCCATTTGCTATAAAATACTTCTTTGATTTCTTGGATGCCCAGGCTGAAAACAAAAAAATCACAGATCCTGATGTCGTACATATTTGGAAAACAAACAGGTGGGAATGTAGGTGATTATTGACTGTTTTCAAGAATCTGGGACAGAATATTAACTAAAAAAGAGGGCAAAGGTAGTTACAGTATCCATTTATCTGTCAGAATATTTGGGTTTAGTAAACTATCATGCCAAAGTAGTTTCTTGCTGTTTATATTTTTAAACAATACATGAAACCATTCCTTTGCCAAGAATCTTATTCTTTAGGATAAAATAAACAAACTGTTATATTTAATGCATAAAAAGACTTTGTCTAGAATGTTAGATCAGCAAAAGATGAGAAATTAATATTTTGTGATTTTTATCATACCATAAGACAAAATAATCAATTACTTTGCAATTTTCAAGCTATGTGTCTATATGTACCAATTCTGTATAGAAATTCATGCTTTTATTATGAAACATAGTACTCAGACACCATGCAAATTAGCCAAAGATTTGTGTTGTTTTTGCATTTTTAACATTTTACTTTAAGAAAAAGCAAGACATCCAGATTTATTCTAAATGTGTCCTCAGATGAGAAACATAGCTCATTACCTCTATTTGAATTACTTTGAGCCAGAGCTGAAAGAAGAGTCATTTATGATATAATGGAATTTCTCATGCACATTTAAGCCCTAGGTCAGTCAAGCCATTTTAAATAAGTGTTAAAAGCTGAAGTTTCAGAGCTCAGGTCAGGTCCTCTTCCATTCATCTGGGTCTATTCCTGGTCTCCTTCTGTCCTGTGTCCCAACTTCATGGCCCTAACCCGAGACTCACACACCCAACACAGGTGATGTAGGTCGCCAACTACAACAGTAGAGCCATTGAGAGCCGAGCAGCTATGTGCTGGATGCAGGGTAGTAAGCTACGCCAGAGTTTGGAAAAGACATAATGGAAGGACTGTGAATGATTCCCAAGTTCATATCGAATATTTGAGTATCTATGACATGACAGCACTGTTGGGTGCTGGAGTACAGTAATGAACAAATCAGACATGAACCTGGGTCTTCACAGAGCTTGAATTCTAATAGGTACTAACAGAAGGTGGAATGTGTCCACTGAAGTACACTAGAAGGTGGTGAGTGCAGTGGAGAAAGTGGGAAGCTGGGATAGTGAAGAACAGCAAGGAGTCCAGTGGAAGTGGAATGATGAGGTGAAGAATGGTGGCACAAGCTAATCCAAGGATACCAAGGGCCACAGAGGGTTTGAGTACAGGAGTGATAAGATCTGGTTCTTCTTTAAGAGGATCATCTGTAGTTGAGTAAGAACAAACAGTCAGGATGGGGGCAAATAACCTGGGTGAGAGAGGGTGGTAGCTTAGACCAGAGTACCACACTTAGAGGGGGTGGGAAGAGGTGAGGTCCAGGAGATCTGAGTTAGGTGTTCTCACTGGTGACCATCATCTCATATAACCTAGCACTATCTGGAGAAAATTCTTGACTTGTTCTCCTCTAGCTGGAATTTTAGTAGCTATCAATTTAACCCTTTCTTGTGTACTTGTTGCTTGGTAGTTTGGCTAAGCAGATTTGTGTACTTCAATAACAAGGGCATAAGCATCCGTTTACAAACTGTAATAAACAGACCAACCCTGGTATGAATGGTCCTGTTTGAGAAGAGATTATTCTCTTTGAACAGCCTTCCTCTTCGCTTCTGGGTAAACATCCTGAAGAACCCCCAGTTTGTCTTTGACATTAAGAAGACTCCACACATAGATGGCTGTTTGTCAGTGATTGCTCAGGCATTCATGGATGCCTTTTCTCTCACAGAGCAGCAACTTGGGAAGGTAAGGCCCAGTTTTTCTATTTCTTATACATACTGCAATGGCCCTAAAGCACTCGTGTAAGCATTCAAATAATGAACAGGTAGTCTAAACCACACCAGCTGAAAAGAAATAATCAGGTCACTGTAAATTTGCTTTTCTTTAAAATATATCTCATTTGCTTTTATTTTTAATCTAGTTGTTCTTAAGGTGAAAACCAAACGAATTAGCTCCACCCTATTACAGAATTTTGCCTCTCTAAAAACTTTACCACAAAGTATACATTTTCTTTGTTTCCTAGTAAAACATTCAGTGGACACTGATAAACTATTAACCCAAAGTATGAAACTATTAATAGTTGCCCCAAGTTAATTCCATCTGAATATATAAAAAATCTTATTTGCATAGAACAAATTGCTTATAGGGAAGAAAATCTTTCCCGAGACTTATAATAATACCAGTTCGCCAATTTATAATCAAAGCATGAATATTGCTTTGATTATATTTGCTTTCCTCTGGTTTTCTTTGCTGATCAAAAGCCCCAAGAAAGCAAAGGAAGATGAAAATACAGAGCAAACTTTGACAGAAATATGTTGGTCTTTTCTGAGCACTCCAAAACATACTAAACTAAGCAATATCTGAGCCTAATGGATTTCAGAAAATCTTTGAACACTGGTAAATGGCTCTTTGGTAGGAAAATTTTCAGAGTACCTGGAATGAACAGTGATGGAAGGTTCAGAGCCCTAGTCATAACTTCAACTCTCTGTCACCGTTCTTCCTGCAAAAACATCCATTTTTTCTTTTGTCCTCCCTCCATGGTGCCTGATTTCATTATCTTTGACCCTTACTTCTTCCTCCTTCTAACCTCCCTCTCTCCCTAAAATGTCCCTGTCCCTTTTCATTTGTTATCCCTTCAACCCCATGCCTGTGCTGCCCACCAATTCCTCTAAACTCTTCCTTTTCACTGTCTCAGGTTATCTGTCTAAAACATAAATTTGATCTCTTTAGTCTCCTGCTTAAAAAATGGAAATTATTTCTAACATCCAAGTAGCTGAAATCTTCACAGTGCAGTATGGCCCTCACTCACTGGCCTCAGACCTCTCTTCTGTCCTCTTTTGTTTTTTCCCATACTCCAGGCTTTCTTTCCCTAAACATCAGAAATCATTCCCACATTGCTTTGCTCACATATTTCCTGTCTCACCACCCGTGTTTAGTAAAATCTTACTTCTTCACTCATTCACCAACATTTTCATTCATTACACAAGCATGATTTCCAATGCATCCCAGAGTCTGATCAGAAATTCTGATCAGCCTTACTAAAACCTCCTATATGAACTTGCCAACACATTTCCTACAAGGCTTTCTTCATTCAACTAATAAAGTTCATCTTAGCATGCTGAAAGACTTCAAATGCTGATCCATAGTAAAACCAGCTGATTCTTGGTACATCCTCCTGGGTAGTTACTGTGACCCTAATGGTATAGATGAAGAAACTTATGTTCTGAGAGGTTACAAGTAGCAGAATTATAAACTCTGACTTGTCCAACTCCATAGTCCTTTACTCTGCTACTAATTATTTATATCACAGTTACCACTGTAAATTTGTCTTTCAAATTACATTGAAAGCTTCCCAAGGGCAGATACAGTCATCTTCATCTTTGTACATCAAAGATGTACAAAGATTTAGCCAGCAGTGGCTGGCTAAATATTGAATGAATGAGTGATCATGTGACTTATGGGTTCTACTTAAATATGATAAAGCAAACCTCAGTAATACCTCAATGAAAGCAGACTTTGTAGTAATTCATCAAGCCGTTGATTCAGCCTTTGGACTGTATAAAATGTACTGGGACATTAGCTCTATCATTAACTTGCTCATCTTCCCATCTTTTGTGAGAAATGACTTTTTACAATAAAATCTTCACTTATTTGATTTTTAAATATTATCACTATTATAATTACATAAAAACCATTCAAACTGCCAGGGAGCCTTTGCGAAGCTGGACCTCAGCACGGCCTGTAGCAATGACCATGTGCTTTCCTGAAGAGGCTGGAAGGTCGTCATAATCTAATGAAATGAGGGACAAGCTGGAAAATCTGACGCTGCCAATTACTTACCACTTTCATAGTTATATAAAGGGCTCAATCAGACCTACAATCAAGTCTTTTATAAATGCCAAAATTCACTGGTGGGTGAGGATGAGAGCAAATGTTTTAATTCAGGCTTTTTGCGGCCATTAGTAATGAACGATGATTGAAATAAGTTCCATTGTTATAGTAACTCAAAATCATGCAAAAATAATAATTTTAGTCCTTTTATGAGAGGAAGGCTGAATATATTAGCATTTAATCTGCCTGAAAATAACAGTGACTCACCAGAACTATCTAGATGGCAGTCAGTCAGTCATTCAGTCAACATTTATTGAGGCCTGTTGCACAGAAGCCTTTGTGAGCAGGAGGTAATACTGGTGGTGGAGGTCCAGCTACATTGTACTTTTATAAATTCCCCATGTTTTTTTACTCTTGGTGGTGGTTGCTTTTTTTCAGGAAGCACCAACTAATAAACTTCTCTATGCCAAGGATATACCAACCTACAAAGAGGAAGTAAAATCTTATTACAAAGCAATCAGGGATTTGCCTCCATTGTCATCTTTAGAAATGGAAGAATTCTTAACTCAGGAATCTAAGGTATCATTAAAAAGCAGAAATAATATTTGCTACTTAAAAAAAAGTCATGTCAGAGCCTCTCAATAAACCTTTCTTCTTTTAGAAACACGAAAATGAATTTAATGAAGAAGTGGCCTTGACAGAAATCTACAAATACATCGTAAAATATTTCGATGAGGTAAGATTTTATGTAACATCTTTTGAACCTTGAGTCAGTCACAAGGATTTGGTTACAGCATTCTGTAGGTCTCAGGACAGTTCAGGCATCCCAAACAGGCAGAAAAGGAGGCCAGGAAGCCTGTGTGGGATGGGGAATCCTGGCCCTGGGCCAGACCCTGCACATGGCTGCCCACCTTGGACCAGCCTCAATTTACATCTGAATTTATGGGACCTACGACCATACTGACTCAAGTCAACTTTGATAAGTATGTTGTGGCCCTGTTAAATGGGGCCAGCTTACGCTTGACAGTGTGCTAGAAATAAAAGCTAAGCCTGTTAAATCACCTAGATTCTGTATTCGTTATATGAAATTATGACGTATTTCTAACCTAGCAACTATTTCAGTAACAAACGTTTTAATTCAGACATTTTTAACGACCATTATTAACGAACTACCATTCTCCTTTATGATTAATTCTCCTTAGTCTGGATGCATTGTTTCCAAATATATGTTAATTCCCCCTTCCCTGATTCCCCCCACTCAGTCATGCTGGGACAGGCTATCCATGTCAATGGTGAGAATAGCTCACCAATTCCATTTGCTACTTGAAGATCAAGTGAAGCGCTAAGGTAGGGTAGAGGCAATGAGCTCCTTAAACATGATAAGCATCCCTCTCTGTCCAGGGGCCAGGGGTGAGAAGGGAAGCACTGGGGAGGGGAGAGGAGGGGTCTACACTGCCCAGAAGGGGAGGGAAAGGGAGGGACGAATTCATCTTTGACCAGGATGCCCTTGCCTGCTGCATTTAAGGAGAAATACTTGCCTGCATGTTGGCTGCCCAGGAATGCTTGCTGTGCTTGGAATGGCTGTGACATAATGCATAAATCAGGGCCTTGGAAGTCTGGCCCCGTATTTGTAAGCAAATAGTTGGTATTTCTTGTGGGCTTCTATTTTAAGCCAAAGTGTTGTTGATCCTGTGATAATGACTTAGCAAAACAACTTGCAAAGTGAGTATGTAAATGATCGAATAAAAGGATGGCATCTGTTTCATACAGACTTTACCACTCACAGCATCAGGAATGCAAAAAGCCCCCAGAATTGTAATGCTAAAACCACAATATCTAAAATAACTGTTCTAATTGTCAACAGATTCTAAATAAACTAGAAAGAGAACGAGGGCTGGAAGAAGCTCAGAAACAACTCTTGCATGTAAAAGTCTTATTTGATGAAAAGAAGAAATGCAAGTGGATGTAAGCACTCTGGGGCCTGGCTTAATCTGGCAAAGTTCTTCAGACGACTTGGGAGCAAAATGGCTGCTTGAGCTACTCTGTGTCGTTAATTTTTAAGTTTGCACATGGGTTTCACTTTGAGCACTGTCTTTTAAGAGACCAGGGCACATGCACAGCTTTTTAAAAAGCGTATCAACCACTGTGCCTGTGTGTATACCATGGGAACCCTTCTGTAAATAGAGTTGAAGTGGTTGTTGCAAACAGCCTCCTTGTTTACAGAGAATACAGGGCCAGTAAGCAAGTGTCAGTATTGTTACTAGTCTCCACTTAAGCACAATGATATCTAAGTGGTTTTGTTGGAAAACTACAGCAAAAGCACTTGTGACTACACTGCACCTCTGCAGAAAAGGAATATTGCCAATGCTCAAAACAAAATGTGAAATGAGTCATTCGGAAACAAGGTGGGGGCGTTAGGGCAACCTCGAGGATCTGCAGCAATGAAACTTTCCCCAGTAGTTCTTGGAAAAGCTGACCGCAGAATTTGGTAGTGTGTACACTTAGCATTTGTGAGTGTGTGTGTTTAAACCAAAAACTAACAGTGTTGCAACATTGTTGAAAGGGCTCGTGTTTTTCAGTGGTCTCCAACTGCACTCATCAAACTCACCTCCATTTCATCAAGGAGCTCTAAAGCAAGGAGAGTGAGTGAGCTTTACTGAAATGCAACAGCGTTTTACCCACTTTGTCCTAATGTGTGTTCCCTTTATTTATCTTTTCATTCTAAATGTATTTGGTAGTGGACGCATTGGGTATTGTAAAAAGAAAAAAAAAAAATCATTGTTTTCTTTCTGTTTAAAAATCCTTGATCAGAACTATCTGTGAAGTGTAAGTCACTCCTGTAATTCTACATTTCTATACTAGTGTCTCCTTGCTTTAGATTTCTGGTGAACCCTGTGGTTATAAATACTTGTGTGTGATTTTAAAAAAAAGTACATTTTACATTTCATCAAATTGTTGTTCACACTGGAGTATTATATATAAATATATATATTTGAGGCCCAAGGCCTAAAAAATATTAGTATACAACTTGGTATCTTAGTCTTATTATGTACTTTTTGAAAGTATTCCTTACAGGAGAATTTAAAATACCCATTTTATTCATACCTTTCTTTTTAAAGAAGACCCTATCGTTATACTGTAGTCTTTTTATTGCTGATTTTTTATTCCTGAATTTTTGCTGCTCATGACCACTTTTAATACCACTGTGTTTTCCTTCTATTAAACCAGAAGTGATTGGCGACTCTAAGCCTTCCTTTTGTGAGGCACCTTTTATCCTTGGTGCTTCAAATCCCCAATCAAGGAAGGAAATTTTTCAAATAAAACACTGATCACAGATTCCTTAAAACCATTTACCATTTCCCAAAACTATTAAAGAATTAAATGATAATGAAAATATAACATTAAAAAAAACCCCATTTACCAACACTGTATGGAACATCAGGATTGAAATGTGAATTTGTCTTAGGAAAATACAATTCTTTTTTGCTCCTTAATATCTGGTAAAGTGTGAGAGAGGTGACATCTTAACGGTTCAGAGTAATAAACAGTTACTGCCCTGGTAGGCACCTTCCCAATTCTGTTGCTTTTGACCATTGTCTGTTCAATGGACACATCTCAAAAATACTACCAAATAGGTTACTTTTAAGTGTAGAGGTGAGAGATCTGGTCCCCATCTAAAGCTGCTACAGTCTTCAAAGAAGTGAAGGCATTCATTAAAGAAGAGTTGTAGGACAGTTGAGAGCCAAGGGTAGGAGAGTTGCCCAAAAGACTTCCCCTTCTTGTGGGGTACATAAAACTCAAAGGATCAGTTACAGCTTTATCTAAGTATTTACTCAATGCTACATGAGGGTGTCCCTGTCCAGCTCTCTGACACGAGTCCTGTGTGGAGAGTTACCTCCTCTTCCAGGGACTGTGCTGTTAGGAACTTTGGGCAAGTCACTTACCTCTTTGTGCCTCAATTTCTGTATATTTCTAACCTACCTCACTGAGGTGGTATGAATATTCACTAATGTATGTAGCGTGTTTGTCAATCCTCCAGTGAGAAGCACTGTCTAGATCACATTTTGGATCACATTAGCCAAAAGCAGTAAATGGCCAAATTAGATGTGTGCTGAAGACAATCAGTCACTGGGTCTACATTAAACAGCAACTAGAGAAACAAATGGCAAACAGTATCTATTTTCAAGTTTCTTCGCATATTTTTTGGTGCAAACAATTCATTTATAAACTTTTTTTCTAACACTAGTGTCTACAGCAGCATTTAAAAACATAGTTCTGTTACCTTTTCTGTATTAGGATTTGAAGTCTATTTCTTATTGTATACCTGATTGAAGCTGTTCTTGGAGATGAATGTTTTAAATGTCTATATCCAAAAATAAACATTTTGATGTACCTGTGGACTGTTTTTGTCTTTTCTTCCCCCCTCCTCCATTATGTAGTTATAATAGGCTTTTTATTCTAAGTGGCTCTGGAAATTAATTTTCAGAAACAAGGTATCACTGTACACTCTTTGAGACTAAGCAACTCCATTAAGTAAACCCAGTTTCTTGCTGCTAAGGGCTGCTCAATTATATTTTTGTTGTCATTATCAACTTGGGCTTTTGACTGTGAAGACTTCTGGATAACGAACAATCCACCTAGCTTCGTTTTGTTGACATGAGGTTATTCCAGCAGAATTCCTCTAAAAGTTGCTACATTAAGAAGCTTCCAAAGGGTGCACAGTGCAAAAGCAAACAATGGCATTCTTAGGGACACACATAAATGAAGCAAGTATTTGGTTAGATGCCAATAGTGAGAAACAAGGTTAAATATCAACAATACTTCTAGAGGGAACCCACTGGGTTCTTTTTAAAAAAAACAGCCACAGGATTAAATTTTTTACAAATTCCAACTTAAAGCCAAAATTAGTGAAATCTGTTAAATTATTAAATATACACTCTGTGGTCAAAATGAAATCAAGCACAAAACAATAGTTAGATAAAAAAATATTTATTAAGCTCTTTAATAAATTATGTATACAGCTTTTTTAAAAGGTAGCCTTTTGTAATGAACATATATATATCTTTAAGTTATATATATCTTTAAATTTTTTTATGCTGTCTTTCAAATCATCTTTTTCCCAAAAACTAGAGGTTTGTAATTCTTGTGTATAGCAAACCAAAAGATGTTTACTTTTATGTTTAAGCATCCCAAAGATGAGGAAAAGGGAATCTGAGATGGGCATATTTCAGGCCCAAAAAAATTCAACAAAGTAAAATTAATAATTCCAAAACTTGATTCCTTAATTCGTTCCTTTTGTTTATTTTTATATTCTCAAGGGTTGTCAATATAGTTTCTAAATGTTTCTTTTAACATTAAAAGAAATGACCAGTATCACTGGTCATTAGTATAATCCTAAAATCCTGATACTCATGAATGTAACATGTAGCTGGTACCTTTTCTTGAGGCACACTCATGCATTTTGGCAAACAGTAATAAAGTATCTCAATGCCACATATGTTAAACTTCATGCTTTATTGGGTCTCTGATTTCACCCCTTTTGATCTATCTGCCTTTTCTCCAAGAATATCACTCCCCAGGAGATCCAAGTTCCTCTAGTTGTTTTCTTTGTGTTGTTTCTAGTTCTTCTAGTCTTTTGCGAAGTAGAGAGAGTTCCCTTTGATGCTGTTCTTCCTTAAAAATGATGTAAGAAAGCCCAGAAGAAAAAACAAAACTGTTAGAAAAACTAAAAATGTGACTGCCAGGTAGCAGCCCCTGTCTTTCTTTCTTACACAGACCTGCAATAATCTGGCAGGGAAATGATGTCCATGGTAGCAGTCTAAAAGCAGAGTAGCATGGTGAAGCTACTAAGTAGTCCTGCTTCTCTCCTGCCTCAGGCTCTAGCCTTAAGCAAAACGCAGTCTGTTCTTCCATAGGTATAAAATTCACTAGGGAGTAAATCAGAAAATGCTAAGGCAGGGCACAGGTATACTTACATGGTAACTTTCAAGACTGGAGTCTAACAGCATTTACTATAAAGAAGCACTTGGTCTGAGATTCACTTCAGTGACTCAAATCTTCTGTGCTTATATTATAAAACATAATGACTTATTAATAGTCTACCTTCTGAAAACCATTCAATTTGATTCCTTTAATATCTCAGGGGCCTGATATAGCAGAAAGAGCCCAGGTTTTGGAATGAGACAGATTTAGGTTTAAAAGTTAGCTCTGTCTTTTATTAAACTTAGGCCAGTCACTTCACTACTCTGACTTGGTTCCCTCATCTATGAATTGGGAATAATAAAACCTGCCCTCAACACATTTTTAATTACTATTAAACAAAATACTGTATGGAAAATATACAGTGCACTGAATTAGTTAATGCTTCATAATAATTGCCCATAATAATGGGCATAATAATCTATTGCCCAATAGAATCTACTCCCTGTGGCTAAGGTTATTACATTTACAATTTGAGTTTTAACTTTCTATTTAAGTTGGTAAAAGCCTACAGAAATGTTTTGGCTTTTTTTCCCTAAGATAAATGCTCATACCTGCATTTGAGGAGGAAAAGACAGCTCCACGCCTGAAACCATGGCTGGTGACTGAAAGCTAGCAGGATTGATACATGCTGTTGGAGGCATGCTAGGAACCAAAATTAGACTTCGAAATTCATTATGTCTTCTCTGTATATCCTTTAGTCTTTTTTGAAGTCTTGTATATTCTTCAAATGGAACATTTTGTCTTAAAAAGAAAAATATTTCTGTTCTTTAATAGTTATACCCTATTGAAGAAGTTATGATTCACAGAATATAATTTTAAATTGGAAGAGGATTTCTAAATTATAAGGTTATATATAATATATGAATAAAAATCTAAAAAAATATAATTGCCTAGAAAGATAAAAAGAAACATATTATAGCTTAATCACGTGATTACTAGCATTGCAGACTATCAACTCATTATAAAGTTTTATTTGCCAATTAATCAATGGTTAAACATTACTTTCATTTCCACTGTTCACGAATCCTGAAATTAAAGGGAAACTCTTTAAACCACAAGACTCCCTTATCTTACAAAAGTAATCAAATAAAACTGAGAATATGCTGGGTTGAATACTATGAAATTACCAATTACCATTTTTGTAGGCAAAATGTGATAAAATATAAAGAATTTCACTTTTCTTTCCTTGGTTTTTATTTTATTTTATTTTTTTTGGCAGTACTGGGGCTTGAACTCAAGGCCTCACATTTGCTAGGTAGGCACTCTAGCACTTTGAGCCATTCTGCCAGTCCTTCAAATATAAAGAATTTCATACTGTTCAACCTAATTTTTAAAATGTAGGTATGATACCTGATAAATGTACATATTCATTGTGCGTACCTGGTTCCTGGCACATACCTCCAAACCCTTGAAATCTTGGGAGTGAAAAGAATGGATTTCGTTTTTTTCTTCCCCACTTCAGTACTGGCATTTGAACTTAGGGTCTCATGATTGTTAGACAGGTGTTCTGCTTAAGCCACTCCACCAGCCTGAACAGAACTTTTTTTTATATGGGAATGACATAATTTGTGGTGGGGGAACCCTAGAAAGCTTCAGAAAGGGGTCATCAGAAAGACGAAGACATGATTAGAAGGCTGAAACTCTTCAGCCACAACTAACCTCCACTTCTGGGGGAGGGGAGAGGAACTGGAAGTTTAGGTGATCACCAATGACCAATAATATAATCAATCCTGCCAGTGTAATGAGATTACTGTCAAATCCAAAAGGACAGGGTTTGGAAGCTTTTGGGTTGCTGAATACATGGAGGTGCCAGGAGGGTGACGCATCTGAACAGGTAATATCTGGTATAATAAACTGCAAGTATAAGGCGTTTCCCTGAGTTCTGAGAGCCACTCAAATAAATTAATGGAACCCAATGAGAAGGGCTTGGGAACCCCAATTTACATGTGTTGGTCACAGAGCTAGGGCTGGAGCTCAATGGTAGAGCACTTCCCTAGCATGTACAAGGCCCTGGAATTATGTCGTTGGTAGGACGTAAAGGTCACAATGTGGGGGCTATGTGATTGGCATTTAAAATGGAAACTTTTTTTTGGTAGTACTGGGCTTTGCACTTGCTAGGCAGCAAGTCACACCTCCAGCTCTATGACCAATGACTTCTGAGGGATTAGAGATGTGAGCTACCATGCCCAACCTAAAGTGGAGGTAGTCTTACAGAATTGAGTCCTCAATCCATGGTAGTGTCAGAACTGAATTATATAGGACACCCAGGTGGTATCTCTGGAGAACTGATTTCTCGATGTATGGGGAAAATCTCCACACATCTGGGGTCAGGGTGTTGTGTTGACTTTGTGAGAAGAGGAAAACTACTTTGCTTTTTCTTATCTCTTATAGTAGTCAATCACAAAGGTGAAGCTACCCAAACTTTAAAGTAAAAAAAGACAAGGAATCTAACTTTCATCTCTTCATAGACCATCATCTTTTTGGACATGACTTTCCTGATCATCAGTCACACCAGTAATCAAATATAGTTTCAAAGCCACCTGAAGTTATATGTGATATGTGCCCCACCTGCCCAATCTTGACTTGATCATATTTCAGTATTAATGGGTATAGAAAAGGTAGTAAGTTGAATTTGGTTTTAGATTGAAATTAGTGGTCTACTACTTTGAGATACAGTATTGTAAAGTAAGCATGAATTCCGCAGTCCAGAAACCTCTTGGGTATTCTAAAAACACTGTTTACATTCTGGTAAGAAATACAACCAAGAATACCACTGAACATCATAAAACATCATTGCCTGATACTGTAAACAATTTCCATTATAGAAAAGCTTAATACTTGATTAAAGTACTAAAGGCTACCACTTATTAGCTGAATTTAAAAAGACTTTCGTTAACTTGAATGAAATGGGTTATACAATGCCATCACCACCAGCTTAATATGGTAAATCTTCTCTGCTCAAAAATGCTAAAGATAGAGCATACAGCAAAACGAAAAACTGTAGCCCAGTAATTTTTCCACACCAGGAAACCAAAAACGAACCACTAATTCAAAGATCTGCCACAATTTCCAGAACTATGCAATAGCCACAACTTTGTTACCTTAACATCAAGAATTCATACTACCCCTAGATACCAAAGGCAGTGACTGACCTTTGTTGTCAATCTCAACCATAACATAAATACCTGACAGGTGATAAAACACAGTTAGAAAGAAAAAAGATAATGCATTAGGAGGCTATCAAATACTTTTAGGAAGCTTTTAAATATGTATTTTAAAAGAAAACATAAAGTACATTATATTAAGAAACAAAACTTTACATCAAAATAATCATGGAATATATACATCCTGATTATATATATTCCATATACATCTGTATATATATATACACACACACAAACACATTACCTATTCAACACCTGATTTTCTGTTTCCAATTCTTCTATCTTTGCCTCCAAGACTTCTACTTTCTCCTGTAGTCTCTTCAATTTGTTTTCATGAAGAGATTTTCTCTAGAGAAGATTAATAAGAACAAGTATGTTAATACATAATTTCTACTTGAATAAAACTATATGGTGAATATTTTACACAGCACTTTAATTTATAAATGATTGTTTTCAGTGAATATCAGGAAAAAAGACTAGTAAATATGACTCTTACTGAAAACTGCAAAGATAATAAATCACAAATCTACCTCATGTCCTCAATGTAACAAAATTCTATCTCAACCAATAAGCTACAAGTGGTGAGATGTGTCTGTGATCCCAGCTATGTGAGAGGCTGTAGGCAGAAGCACTGTCTGAGTAAGAATGGCTCTGAACAAAAAATGCTCAAGTGGTAAAGCATCTGCCTAACAAGCATGAGGCCCAAAGTTCAAAACCCCAGGAATGCAAAACCAAGAAAAAAGAAACATATTTATATGTATATATGCACACACACATGTATGTATTAAAGGAAGTGTTAAGTATTAACAAAAAAGTATTAAAAGGAAAAAAAGTTTTTTAAAAGTAACCATTCTATGATTTCATTAAATTAAATGGAAAAGGCCTAGTACAATGCAAAAAGAATCCTATGAACAAAAGTAGTATTTTTTGCTTTTATAGGCAGGTTTTTAAAATAGAATGACATCTATAATGTCAGAACTCATTTAGTAGCTAGCTGCAAACCTTTTAAATACGTTTCCCAATTCATTTTATTGAAGTGTAACAAGCTTATGGGGGAAAAAAAACCCAAAAAACAGAACATAAATGTAAAATTCATTGAAAGACTACAAAGCAAATGCCGGCAAGACTACCTCACTTGTCAAGAGCGTTACCATGACAGAAATGTCCTTACCTTTCCCCCTTCTGATCATGAGCCCCTCCACTTGTTTATTTCCAAAGCGCACAGTTCTATTTTTCAACTTCACGTGAAGGGAGTTATAAAGTGCATTCTTTTGCAAATGACTTCTTTACCCAACATTGTATTTGTTTGTGAGATTTATTCATGTTACTACTTGCAGGTATAGTTCACTCACTGCCACATACTATTATTCTCCACTTACAACTATTACATGGTTCATGATTATAATCACCTGACCCACTACTAAGGGTCATCTGGATTGTTTCCAGTTGGAACTCCTATTACTATCAATGCTATGGGCATTCTTCTTCATCCTTCCCATTGCTCAACATCCCCCAGTTCTCCAAAAGGCCTCCTCATTTTCCACCTGTCTACGCTAGCAAAAGAACCACTGTTCTGACCTTTATCACCACAAGTAGTACTTATTTATGTATAGTCTGGGTAATTAAGGCACCCACCTGTTCTATCCACCATATAAAAGAAATCATACAGAATACACTTCTTTGCATCAGGGATTTTTTTCCTCAACATTTTATGTATATGACCAAGTCATGTTATTATATGCCACAGTAGTTCTTTTTCATTGTCATGACATCCACTGTACAAATGTAAAACATTTTATTCATTTTTCTGCTGATGAAAATTTGAACTGCATCCAGTTTGGAGACATTTTACAAATAAACTTTTAATCAAAACATTTTTGATGGGTGTATGTCCTCATTCGCCTAGGACTAGGTCATTGGGATAGTCATGTTTCAACTTCTTACATAGGATCCCAGTTTGTTTGTTTTTTTTTAATGTGATTCTTCCAGTTACATGCCCATCAGTAAGACAGGAGGGTTCTACTTGTTCTGCATCCTTGGTAATACTTGGTATGGTCAGTCTTTTAAAGTTCCACTATTCTGGTGGAGTATGGTGGTATTTCACTGTAGCTTTCACTTGTATTTTTCTGATACTTAGCTAAAGATGTTGAGTACCTTTCCTTAGACATCTGCATGTCCTTTTCTGTGAAGAGCTGATCCTAGTATTTTACTCTACTTAAAGAAAATGTTTTTCGGTAATCTTTTTTCTTTTTTTTTAAACTGATTTGTAGTTCTTTATATATTCAGGATATGAACCCTTTGTAGATTATATATGTAAAATATATATATATATATATATATATATATATATCGTATATATTGCAGATTGATCTTCTCCCAACCTACGGTGGTATTTTTCTCTTAAGTGTTGTGCCCTTTGATAAAAAGTTCTTAGTTTTAATAAAATCCAAATGACCAATCATACACACACACACACACACACACACACACAGAGCAGTACTGGAGTTTGCATTTAGGGTTTAGCACTTGCTAGACAGGTGTTCTACCATTTGAGCCATGCCTACCGCCCCAATCTCATCTTTTATAGTCAGTGCTTTCTGTGTCCTATTTAAGAAATCTTTGCTTTAGGATAAGTATTGATACTAAGGTTTTCTCCCAAGTTTTCTTCTAAAAGCTTTATTTGCATTTACCTTTAATGATTAGGTGTTTTTATGCTGCAATGTTGGGTTAAGGATAATCAATTGGTAAAGTACCTTTTACTTAAAAGATTCTCATTTTCTTATTGAAATGCAGTGTACCGTTGTAGAAAGTCAGGTGTTCATATACATTAAGGGTCTACTTGTAGACTCTATTCTGTTCCACTTGTCTATTTATCTGCTCTTATGCCAATACCACACTGTTTGAACTACTATAGCTTACACAAAATACTAGTATCTCATACTATAACTCCTGTAACCTTATTGTTCTTCAAGATTGCCTTATTTTACAGTCTCACACAAATTTTAGAATCTACTTTCCAGTTTCCACAAAAAAAACATGCTAAGATTTTCAATAAGACTGTATTAAATTTACAGATCAATTTGGGAAGAACTGACTTCTTAATACTTCTTAATAATATCAAACTTTGCAATTCATGAACATAGTATAGTTTTATCCTTTAAGCATTCTTTAATTTTTCTAAGCATATCTGCATTTTCTAATACAGAAATTTTGCACATAGATCATTAGATTTATTCCTAGGTAACATGGTTTTATACTACTGTAAATGGCATTTAAGTATTTTATTTTCTAATTGTGCAGACAACTAATGTTTGTTGGTTGATTTTTGTATCCAGCAACTTTCAAAACCCACATATTTTAATACTTTATAGATTTGCTTATATTTGATGTATATACAATCATGTCTTTGAACAACACTTTTACTTCCTCCTCTTCAACTGCTATTCATTTCTTTTTTCTTGCTAGATATTTCTAGCTAATTATATAAACTAGAACCTCTAACAATACAGTGAACAAAATGGTGGTAATGGGCTTACTCGCCTTGTTCCTGAATTTGGGTGAATGGAGGAAAATATTTGATATTTCAGGATAGTAAACAGGATGCTAACTACAGGATTTATTGAAAATTTCCTTTTATTCCAAATTTGATTAAAGTTTTTATCACGAAGTTTTGAGTTTTGTCAAATCATTTTTCTGCATCTATTAAGATGATCACAATAGTTTTCTCTTTTTCTGTAGGGTGTTGAATTATACTGATCAATTACATATAGCCTGATCAATTTTGCATGTTAAACCCACCTTTATTCATAGAACGAACCCTACATGTTCATGATATTATTTTAAAGTATCACTTGATTCATTTGCTAATCTTTAAGATTTTTACATCTGTGTTTATTATTTTTCTTTCTTTTTGTTTATGGTACTGGGGTTTGAACTTGCTAGGCAGGTGTTCAACCACTTGAGCCACTCTGCCAGTCCTGTTTTTATGTTGGGTTTTTTCGAGATAGGATCTCGAGTTCTATTTGCCTGGGCTGGCTTCAAACTGTGATCCTCCAGATCTCTGCCTCCTGAGTAGCTAGGATTTACAGGCATGAGCCATCAGCATCTGGTTAATTTTTCTTTTCTTATAATGATTGTATCAGCTTTGAACCTCATAAAATAAATGGGGATGTTTTCCCTACTTTTGTATTATCTTGGAGAGCTTGTGTTAAGATTGGTATTATTTCTTCCTTAAGTATTTGGAGAATTTACCAATGAAGCCAAATGAGGCATTTTCTTTGTGGAGGGTTTTTAATTAAAGATCCCATTTTCTTAATAGATATAAGACTCTTCAGATTTCTTAATTATTCTTGTATTTGTTTTGTTCTTCAAGGAATGTATTTGTTTAATCTAAATTGCATAATTAATTAGCACAATTATTTTTATAATACCTTTTTATTTTGCTATCTATACACTATGCATTAATATCCCCTTTTCCATTAATGATATCATTCACTTGTGTTTATCTAATCTTCTGGATTGTCTGATGAGAATCGGTCCCACTAGGTTTTATTGATTTTATCAATCTTTTAAAAAGCCAGCCTTTGGCATTTTCAGTTTACCACATTTGCTGTTTCATCGATTTCTGCTCTTATCCTGAAGATGCTGATGATGTCTGTTGGTAAATCTATCCATTGAGTTAACAGTTTGGTTTTTGTATTTTTTTAGTTTGTTATTTCCTCATGTGCCTGTTTTTGTATTTTTTTTAATTAATGGACTATTTTTAGAAAACTTTTAGGCTTACAGAACTGAAGAGAAAGTAGATTCCCACACATTGCCTCATCCATCCAGTTTACACTATTAACATCTTGTATTATTGTGGTACGTTTATTAAAGTTGATGGACCAAGACTGGTGCATTTTACTAACTAAAGTCTGTAGTTTGTGTTAGGGCTCATTCTCGGTAGTGTATGTTTCTCTGGGTTTTTGCCAAACACATCATGTTTTGATTGCCCTCTAAAAATTCCCTATGCTTTTCCTATCCTCTTTCACCCCCAACCCCTATCAACTACTGATCTTTTCACTACCTCCACAGTTTTGCCTTATCTAGAACACCATATACTTGAAATCATAGTATGTAGTCTTTTTGAGACCAGCTTCTCTCATCTCACAATATACATTTAAGGTTCTTTCATGTCTTTATGTGTTTTGATGAGTATTAACTTGTGTGGATGTGGATATACCACAGTTTTATCCATATGTAGTTTCTTTGTGTAGACATAAGTTTTCAACTCATTTAAATGCCTTAGAACATGACAGCTGGATCATATGGTAAGCATATATTTTGCTTTGTAAGAAACTACTTTAAAAGAAGTGTCTTCTCAAGTTGTAGTACCATTTTGCATTTCTACTGATAACTGGGCATTATCTATTAAAATTTGAAGAAATAACTTCAAACCTATGTTGTTATCTTCCTTTATAGTAGATTTACATTTGTTTCTGGCAGGCAGTTAGGAACACTAACAATATGGGTAAATTTAATCCAGTTGTGAGGACTGACACCTGGAATTATGCTTTAATACTTCTAAGGGCCATGTTTTTTTTCAGTTCATCTTAGTCTACAGGTGAATCTCTTCAAGATCCCAACCCAAAGACTAGTAGAGTTATCAAACCTCCTGCTTTGTGAGATTCTGTTTTTTTTTTTTTTTGATGGTACTGAGGTTTGAACTCAGGGCTTTGCACTTGCAAAGCAGGTACTCTACCACTTGAACCAGACCTCCAGTCCATTTTGCTCTGGTTATTTTGGGGATAGGAGTCTCTCTATTTGTCCAGCTGGTCTCAAATCATGATTCTCCCAATCTCAGCCTCCCAAGTAGCTAGGATTGAGAAGTGAGTCACCAGCACCCAACGGTGGCAGATTTTGAATTCCAATTTTTGTTTTCCAAGCCCTGTGGTTTCCCTGATGGTGGTGTCTGGTGAGGGCCTGCATACTCAGATGGTGCCTTCTTGCTAGTTCCTTTCAAAGAGAAACAAGGTTAATCGTGAAGGCTCTGTCCTTGTGACCAAACCATACCACAAGTTGCACCTCCTAACACTATTACCTGGCAGGTCAGAAATTCATGTGAATTTTGAGGGAACAAAAACATTCAAGCCATAGCACATGCATAGAGATGGTCCACATTATTTTCTAATTAGTCATTACCAAAAGCATATGCTTCTTCTAGATATTTTAGTTCAACTAATAGTAGATATTTGAAAGAAATATTTAACTTCATTATTGTATGATCATATAAAAATGCAATCTTAAAACCTAGTGGCATTTCTCTATATGTATCAGTCATTTAAACTGCAGTAAACTATAAAAATTTTTACATCATCATCAAATCTTAATTAAGCATGTTTGTTACACACACGCGCACACGCGCGCGCGC